CCGAGATAAATGTACTAGATTGCTCTTTCCCTGCTAGATGTGGCCATTGGCATTGTACCCTGCACCCAGAAGTGTGATTGGACGTATCAGCTGAAGGCACTGCCATCCTAACCTTTTTAACAGAAAACTTTGATACTGCAATCCTAAACTCACTGAACAAAGTGGGACTGCTTTCCGAGCAAACATGCACAAGATTTGTGTTCATTTGTCTTTAGTCCTATACACACACACCTGGGACTTGCTTCTGGCCACACATGTAGAAGATTCCATGGTTATTTAACTACTGAACACACTAATGCATTCTGCTCTTCTACTAGCCTGTGAATGTTTAACATGAAACACTACTATTTAAATCATGCTCATGCTTTATGGCTGAGTTGTAACAGCAAAACTGCCAAAATAAGTTTCAGTATGCGAATAACTTTTGGGGTAAGAAGCCCCAATCTCATTGATTACTGTAGTTCTGAAGTTTAAAAAATAGGATTTCAAATGGAATTTTAAGCTGAAACAAAATCTCATGCGGTTTCCTCTATAACACAAGTTGTATAATGACACTAAGTACTTCTTGCCTCAAGACCTAAATCTTAGAATTTGATTCATTAGTAATTCATGACAGAAAATAAATACATATGGAATTCTCATAAGCATGTAAGATCAGATCAAGATCCATATAGTCCAGTTTTCTGTTCACAAGAAACCCACAGGGAGATCACGGCAACAGCATCCTCTCAGCCATGTTCACTGGCAACTGGTATGCATTGGATTCTGATACGGGATGTAACATACCAGAGCAGTAGAGCAGGCAGTCTTCTGGTTTCTTTTCAGCAACCCCAGTTAATACTACCTCTATGTCCAGGCCAAAGCCATCACAGGTGCCAAGTACCAGCCAGCACAGCAGGTGAAGTGTTGGTGCCTGGTGCGCTGACTGCCTGGCCCCACAAATAGCCACCTTGCCTTATCCTGCACCAGCTGAAGTGTGCAAGCCATCTTCAGAGGCAGTCCCACATACAGAACATTATCTTAGTCCAGACTGGATGACAGGGCATGAAATATTTGTAATTTGCCAGCCAGGATAACCATATGGCACCACTTGCTAGGAGGACACACATAAATCACACATACCAGCATTCTCTGACGTGACTTCCCTTGGAAAATGACAACTCCTAATTTTGCTGTTCCCATCCCTAAGTGATTTGTGTGTGTGCATGTGTACATATATAACTGTATACATTTATCATGCAAATTAATTGCTTCCACTTTCTCCTTCAGTCCTGTAAGGTACACTTTGTCAAGTGTACAGAGAGAGAGAGAGAGAGAATAACGTGGAGCATCTGTTTTTCATTTGTTCTGTTTTGGTCCAGCTTGTATTTAACAGCTACTTGGGGAGATTGAAACAGGCTGGAGCTGTTCCAGGTAGTTAGTGGTAAATGCACCTGGTAGGCAACACTTGCCCTGCTCGTAGAAGCCACATACTGCAGCTCGTGTGGCTATGCACCCAACCTCTGACTTCATCCTGCCCTTTGCGCCTTAGTGCCCTAGTGGTCCATGCAGAAGGTTCTACTCATAATGAGCTTTTATTTTATTTAACTTCATTTCTATACCACCCAATAGCCAAAGTTCCCTGTGCAGCGCACAACTGCCCCCCATCATTGAAGCAAGCTTCCTGCTACAGCCCACATGGCACCAAAATTTTTTGGCACCAGCTCAAGCCAGCCCTCCATGCAGCAGCCTTTAAAGATCTCCTTGGTCACCCAGGGGCTCAATGGGATCATCCTGGTGCTTTTTCTTCTTGCCAGGTCTTTTTATTGTATTATAAGCTACTTTAAATTAATTTGAAATTCTATTAACATTGTTATTTTATATTCTTTATATTCCTTTTTATTATTTTGTTTTATACCTTGTTGTAAACTGGTCAGAGAGCTTCAGCTATGGAGAGGTGTAGAAATGAAATAAATAAATAACAATTAATCATAATATGTAAAGGAGAGCCTTTTCCCATATGAACCTACCCTTAGATCTGCATCTGAGGCCCTGTGAGGGAGCCCCCACCTCAGGATATAAGGAGGGTGTGTACAAGAAGAAGGGCCTTTTCAGGAGTGGCACCCTGAGTTTGGAATGAGCTCCCCAGAGAGGTTCACCTGATGCCATCTTTATACTCTTTTCAGTGCCCGGCAAAACCCATCAGTATTTTGTACAGGGAGCCATGTGACTAATGGTGTGTGTTAGAAATCATATAAATAAATAAATAAAAACACAAAAGAAACAAAAAGTACAATTGCAATAAAACACAGTATATGATACCAATATACAAATTTAGAGTATTATTTCCAACTTTTTTCTTGGGGACAATATTATGTTTTTGAGTGAATAATGATTATTGAGATACTATGGAGTGATGTTAATACTAAAACAATGTAAGAAACTACTTCTTCAGGCGTGATAAAATGAATGCTGAGTACTGTTAGACCATAAGCAGTTCAATGGGACATAAAGACACTGAAGTGTGTCTAGATTATGTGCACCACACTAGATTTTTTAGTTTATCTTGCTCTATGAAATCAAAATGGCCTGTCCTGAATAACCTTGAAGTTATTTCATTCCTGTATTACTGAAAGCCACACTGAATACTTGAAAAGCCATTGGAAATGGCTTTACCTATAATTTGCCTTTGTCAAAAGCAGCAATCACTGCTTTGGGTGACTTGTAATGCTCTATGTTGCAGGCATACACAAAATCAGTAGAATGAACTGTAAATAATTTCAATGCATTGGTTAAATTATTCCAATTTAACCAATCTAACCAATTCCACCAAGTTAGACTTAAAGAGATTAAAAAGCTAATGCGGCTTGGGAAACCCTAGCATACATCCCAGTGTGCTCATTGAAGTTTGAACAAATGGTAATGAAATTAGAGAGTCAAAGAAACTTGGATATTTTGTTCCGGAAGCCAAAGGTAAGGAAAGATGCAGCAAAACTCAAAGAAATCCTCCTGTCCTTCCTCATCACTTATTGAAACATTCTTGAGACAAATGGCATTTTTTAAAAAAGATGAGGCAAATAAAGCATAGGATGGATTCATTTAAAAACTGGTAAACCGAGAAAAGCAGTTATTCCATGCATATCCATTTCTTCCATAAAATGAAATGCAGTGAAGTTTTTTGATTGGATGACCTTGACAAAATGAACAGGACTCCAGTGAATTACACTAAAGAGAGTGCTGTCAGCTTTTTGCTATTTTCATCATGCATTTGTGGAAATGGTGAATATTCCTCATAGATGACTGGACTCTAAAGTGACACCAATAAAACTGTACTAAAAAATAGCTCTGATGATCAGCTCAGTGGTAAAATAAAATAAAGTATGTGGTACAGAATCTTGAATTGTGTCACCAAACATGTACTATAACCAGAAGAAGAGGAGTGGGGCTCATCTCCCCATTGTAAGGGCATGCTTGGTTTTGAATAAACAGCACCATAGCTCTTATTACAGAAAGTGCAAAACTGTCCAGAGGAATTTTAATTCTGCCTTGATGGCTCACTGAGAAGCTTCTACAGATGGGATGGCTGTCAGAACATATCTACTGAGCACTCACTCCTTACCATCAGTAAATAATTTTGTATAAACATGTTTGACTTTCTTTTCTTCTTCTTTTTAAGTCTTCATAAAATGGAATGGAAATAATGGATGTGGTAAACTAGGGCCTGCACTAACATTTGTACTCATAATTTCCCCCATTGGAGACTGCTCAAGGTTTATTTCATTTTCTAGCCTGTCTCCCAAGGAGCTCTGGGCCATATATACAGTGTCCTGCCCCCAATATTGACACAGATTTTTTTTCTCACAACTCAGTCTTGTGAGATAGGTCAGGCTGAATCACTATGAGTGGTCCCTAGTGAGAGTCACAACCAAAGATGACAGAGTGGCTTAGGAAAATATGGGAACGACTGAAACTTGGCAAGTTAGCAGCATTACAGAGATTTACATTAAAACATCAAGAACTGATCCACACTCATTATCTATTTTACAAGTTCCCTAGGTCCAATTTTAATTTATATTTTGTGAGTTAACATATTTGTCTTGAATATGATGTGTGACAGTTTCTTGTTTCTACATTATATTGTAGTGTTGTGTGAGGTTTTTTCCTCTTTTCTTGTAAACTTGCTATATGAAATAATAAATAAATACACAGGCTACACATCTTTTTTTAGGGGCTCTATACAATGGACAGGTGACAAGCATCTGCAGAAGGCCTGCCCACAGGCACAGAGGCATTGATTCCATGGAACATTAAGGAACCTTCCTTCCTAGCACACTGTAGGTGCAGTTTGGCAGTGCAGCTTGGTAAAGGCCTTTCCTAATAAAGGAGTTAGACTGTAATATCACATTTTAGGTAGGAATGATGAAACATGCAAAAAACACAACTGTAGGGTACCTGCTGGAAGAAGACAGGCCCAGACCTTGTCAAATTCTTTTATTATGCTACATTCAGGTCTAGCAGCAATAAAAGTCAAGGAGGGTTCTGGTGAAGAAATTTGCATGCATGTCCTCTGTTCAGAAGGGTTAGTATTGGTTCATTTCTGTAACTACAAAATGAGAACAGAATGAAATAAAGCATTATTTTAAAAACTCTTTTACAGGCAAGTAAATTACTCTGGAAAAGTAATCCTCCTCTGTGTTTACATACACAAAAGTACACGTTTAGCCTTAAGTTTTCAATCTTAAATTCTGAAAGCAAATAGAGCTATGATTATTTTTCAGGAAATCACTGGTATAGTTTCTCTCTCTTTCTTCATGCAGTTTAGGTTTATATACAGTACTGTTTCATGGCTAAAGAGGTTGAAGTCCACAATTAGTGGTACAAATGACTTAAGAGAATTGTGGTTGGTTATAGGGTGAAGATAATAAAATATATATTATTCAGCTAAATGAAAGGAAAACCGCTATCCTTCATAAAACACTAATTCCTTTTTCCTTATCCTTTTCCTTTTCCTTTCCCATTAGGACTATCGGGTGAACATATTTCTCCGTCAGAACTGGAATGATCCACGTCTTACTTATAGTGAATATCCAGATGACTCTTTAGATTTAGATCCATCTATGTTGGACTCTATTTGGAAACCTGACTTGTTCTTTGCCAATGAAAAGGGAGCAAACTTTCATGAAGTAACAACAGACAACAAGTTGCTACGAATTTTTAAAAATGGAAATGTTCTTTATTCTATCAGGTAAATTGCAGAATTTATGTGGGACCTATGAGCTGATGTTGCAGTTTGGGTGCAATCAACATTCCATTAAGGTAAATGGTAAAATTGTAGTTTCATCTATTGGTTGTTCACATATACGAATATACAGGATATAGCCTGAGCCATCCATATAGAACAAGATCAGTAAAATTCCTGACAAGTGATTTGAATATTAAGGCCCCATGTGGAAATCACAGTTTCGCATTGCCCCAAAAGTATAACTGCTGAATTTTCATTTGAAAGCAAAAAAAAGTTAGTGTTTTTCTAAGAGTTTATTTTACTGGTTCTAGTTTCAGTTAAGCCCCTCAACCTTAGATTTCAGAGGAAAGTGTTATGATAATAATACTTGTGTCTCTTTATTTTGTTTATTTTGATGGTGGTGGTAGCTGATTCTCAACTTTTAGATCAAAGTCTTCTCTGAATTCCCTTCTTTAGTAATGTGGTCTAGATCTCCAAGGTAGAATAGCATTTATTTTTCACATTGCCAGAGGCTAACCACAAATACCCCCTTTCCCAAATATCAACAGGAACATAACATAAAATGAGCCCCATGGATATGACCAAATGCCAAAGAAGTCCAGTATCCCGTGGCCAAATCAATAGGAAATTTATAGTCCCATCGCAGTGTTGTTCCCCAGCAACTGGCATTCAGAGGCATTATATCAGCTGTGTAGAGTACATTTTAGTGATACCAGTTATAGTATCTGAAATAGCAGTCAGAGGCAGGAAGTTGTGAACAAACAAAATCAGTTTCAAGACCAGCTCTCTGATTGCAAATCCTGATAGTGACTCCATGAGCTAACATCTGATTAGGCTGCCCTAGCAAGGAATTGTTATTCCTTGGGCAAGTCTCAATGAGAAACAAAGCAAGTAAGTTCTGTATTTATGCAATGTGTGAAATACTTGAGGTCAACTTTGGCCTAAAATTGTAGGCCAAAGTTTTATATGGATTTTGAGGTAAGAGCTAGGCACATTGTATCCCTTTATGGATTTGATGGGAGGGTGTTGCTTTTTAGGGCAATGTACTAGATGTACGCTATGCTTCAATGCAGGGGTACTGAACATTTTTCAGTAAGGAAGCCAAATTCAATTTTGGAGAAGCTTTTGGGCTGTAATCCAATAGTGGGTAGGGCTGAAGTCAAAGTGGGTGCAGCTCAGAACTATTCTTGTCAGTGAATAAGCTTTAAGAGAGGCAGTTGTACCTTTTAGAATGGGGAAAGACACACAGAGAGCATATGGGAAATGGTCAGTGATTGCTGATCAGGGTAAAGTGAAGGAGGAAGAGGTCTGGCCATCTGGTGAACTCCATAGGACAATATTAGAACACCTGATCAACCTGAGCTTCCATACTCCTGCTTCTTCTCTTTCCAGCCTTTTGATCTCTACAATTAAAGGATACCAGTGTATTACTTTACTTGAATTAAGAAGATTCCACTAGTAGGCAACAAGTAAGATGGTCTTTATTTGAAACTCCTAGATGGTCCTTTAGCAGTTATCTCACAAACCTATCATAGCCTTCCAGGATTGATCTGTAGTCTACAATGTAGCTGAATCCTGTAAAACCCTCAAAACATATTTACTCACAGGAAGTCCACTGACTTTCTTAAGGTTTTCTACTGATGTACAGCCTTAAAATACATTTTTCAAGATAACTTCATGTTATTTTCCAAATGCCTAACTGATTGCAATAGCATATGCCTGACTGCTGAATGTTTTACTTTATAGTGCATATGGATGTGTACGCACGGTCATTTTGAGTAAGCAAGGACTATGTGCCATTCAACGTATACTGTATAAAAGTTGTTTTGTATTCTTTCAGATTGACTTTAATACTCTCCTGTCCAATGGATCTCAAAAATTTCCCAATGGATGTCCAAACATGTATAATGCAGCTGGAAAGCTGTAAGTTTAAACATAGTATTTTCATGTTGCTAGCAGATAGACTGTACTGGGTTAAAGGCTATTAATTCATTGCAGTATGACCTCTCATAGATGATAACTGTATTCTTCACAGACAAGTTCCATGTATACATGCAAATAGTAATAATGGTTACATATGAGCACATTCTCCTGCTTCTCTTAATAGAATACACATCACCCATTCAAAAAATGCTCATCCTTACCCTTTCAATGCAATTTAGTAGCGTGCAGAAAGAAATATGAGTCAAGCATGCTTCTTAACCCAGATAAACTTGGGAATTTCCAAATTGGTACCTATATGCTGTGACATACAATGTCCTCCATATAAAGGTGGAGTGGGAAATTGACAACTGTCATCTGCAATGACATGGATGTGAGCTCGTTATTAACAGCAATGCTCTTTTTCCCTATCACACGGAGATTAAAGTCCTGGAATGTAAAATAAGCTGTAATACCTCCTTGTTTTTCTGCTTGTTTCTTCACAGTGGAACTCAGGTCATGCTTAAAGAATCTGTGATATGGTTAGCTTCAGGAATTCTAATCTTCAGACAGAGCTGCATGCGTTTGGCTCTCCTGGAGGCATGCTGTTGGCTTGCCTTGCGGGGAAGTAGTAAAATCAGTGCAGTCAACAGGATGAGATTTCTTAACCACAGCAGGATGCCTAGAGATCCACTTGGATTCAGAAAAGCAAAATAGCTCTGGAATATGTGCCTTATGTAGTAATTTGTGTGTGTTTCTGTGGGTGAATGAGAACAAGTAAGTCACTGTGACTCGGAGAGCTATAAGGCTAATGTCTAATCTAATTGAGCTGTTGTGAATAATTGCTTACTGTACAAAAACACTCTGACTTATCTTACTGTGTCCAAAGCACTTCATGTGTATGGTCAAACTAAGTGAGCAGGGTGGGATGCAGTTGTTTAAGATAAATGCTGGCACTACCCAAACAAAGCATTGAAAAATAAATAGCTGTTATGACTGGTAAAAATCTTACAAGGTCACAAAGTCCCTTCGCACAATCATGCAGTTTTATTGTAGACCTGTACATGCTTTGTGGGTGTAACTGAATCATGACTGTCCTTCTCCTTTGGGAAGGAAAGAGGGAAGGAAAGAGCATACAGTAGAGTTCCAACTATCTGGCCTAATGTGGTGGAAGGGCAGGCCAGATAACAAAAAAGCCAGATAGGCCGGAGTTCTATAAATGCTCACTTCCTAGTCCACCCATACCATTAAAAACACCCTTTTTATACCATAACCCACTCTTATTCATATTTTCTGACCTCTTAGTACAGGCCAGTACTTTATAAATGTTTGTTATGTACTGTACTGTACAAGTTAAAAATTTATTACAGAAAAAGGAAGTCCAAGGATAAAAATATTGTACACATTTTAAGATAAATTTTATAATGTCTAATTTAATTGCAGGAAACATAAAATCATGTACATTGTACAGTATGAATACATACACTTTTAAAATAAACAAAACATTAACGTAAAATGTAGGCTTAATTCTTACAAAAATTATTTAAACTTATTTTACTGTTCATTGATAGTTATTTTTAAACTAGGCTGGATAGTACGGAGGCCGGATAGTCATGAGCCGGATAGTCGAGAGTCTACTGTATATGTTGCATATAGAAGTTCCCAGGTTCAATTCTGGCATCTTCAGGTAGTGCGAGGAAAGAACCCTGCCTGAAACCCTGGCCTGGCAAGGTGGTGGGGCCACTGGGTAAAAAACCCCACTTTTTTCCTTCACACAGCAACACCTGAATTGCAGCTCCTCCCCCAGAATGGCTGGCCTGCAGGTGACACATGGCAGAAGCTATAATCCAGGTAGAGATAGGTGAATGAGCTTGCTCTGCTCAAATGGATAAATTGCACAATGATCAAACATAATTTTCTAGTGCGTGCAACTTTCTTCCATGGAGTAAAGTAAGGCTGATTCAGTATACAAGGGAAATTTGTGCAATAATTTGCAATTTTGCAATTTGTACAAAAGCAAACCTTGTGCAAATGGAATGCAAGCACATGTCTAGCAAACATTTTTGGCAGACATGTGCTTATGTTTTCAGTTATATTCAGGGCATGCTTACATGTTTTGCAAGCAAACACAAAATTCTCATATGTCCTAAACTCAAAGCTCATGTCCTCTCCATGAAGTTGAGCGGGTTGTTGCTACATACCGACTGCAGCATTTTATCCAAAGTGTGCCAGTATGTTAAAGCCCATTACCAGTGGTACTACTCTGTAGGAGCTATCCAGCATACAGAATTACAACAGTGTGATTGGCTTTGTGGTATCCATAGTCTGCTCTTCTGCTCTCATCTCATCACTTTCCAGCTCAGCTTATTTCAGGCCCACAAGCTATTAGAGCACTGTGTCTGTTTACAACTGTTGTGCTGGTGCAGTGGCACGCAGACACGACTCTCCTAACATCTAGGTCCTGGGACAGCTCATTATACTAGCGCAGATTTGGTATTGCATTAACAAAGCAGTTTTGAGTGCCTCTCTCTCTCTCTCTCTCTCTGTTTGTGTGTGTGTGTGTGTGAGAGGGGGGGGGCAGGGAGGCAGGGAGAAAATGCTGTGGCTTATAGGATCCGGCCATAAGTTTAGCTGTGAAAGGTTAGTAGATCATTTTGAGCATTCTTCAACCAGGGACTATAATGCTGTCAAGTATTAATAGGGTATGTCCTCATCTATTGATCTGTAAAGTTTATTTCCATATTTTGATGTCAGAAATTCATTTTCTATGCCATGGAAAAGATAACTGGTCCCCTCAGTGCTATCTGGTTAGTGGGGATGATGATACTGTATCATACTCTAGAGAGAGACCGTATAAGTCTGTTATAACAAGAACAAAAAAAAGTCTTGAAATCTTTGAGACCAAGTCTGCATTTTTACTTAGGAATAAGCCTCACTGAACTTTCCTAGCTTTGCTTAGCACTATGCTGTAACAAATTTATTGCAGTGTAAGCTTTCATGCACTACAATCAACATCTTTATAAGTATGAAGTGCTATTATCCTAGCTAACAAGTAGGTAGATATGAGAGAGAGAGGGGGGGGGGGAGGACAAATGGATGGATGGATTTGTAATCATCTTATGCAGTATACTTTGCCATTTTCAAAAGTAACTTTCTACAGAGAGCATTCAAAGTTCAGAACTGAGAGATATTTAAGTGGGATTTTTTGCCCATTTTTTAAAAATGAAACTTTCTCCCTACAGCAGAGTGTTCACTGAGTTAAAAATAATAAGGGACAAGGACAAAAATGCTGGCAGAAGAATTCATCTGCAGAGAGAATCCTGAAGACTTAGAGGAACCGAGTGACATATTAAATAATACACTTGCATTCAGGCACTTTGATTTGCTGTCTTAAATATTTAAAATGTCTTAAATTCTCACCAATCTTTTATCATGCTAACAGGGTGTGTGCTCTACAAACATTCATCCCTACTGCAGCATAACTTATCTTCCTGCCAGTTTTTGCATATGCAAAGCTATTCATCAGGAGCTGACTGTATGTTGAAAAGACCAGTATGCTGTATTGATACTCCCTCCCTTCATCTTAGTTGAGCAATCCTAAGCACTCTTACTTGAAAAGTGTCATTGAAATAATGGGATTTACTTCTAAGTAGGCATGAATAGGATTGTACTGTTATTGGGGCAGACTATAGATGGAGATATGCATTCATTTTATACCGCATTCCAGCTATTTTCTGCCTCACCTGGACATGCTGAATTAAGCACTACCTGACATGCTGGGGCAAGTATCCTGCCTTTTGGAGCTGGTATCCAGCAGAACTGCCAGCTGAAGCAAGATAGGGAAGGTTGCTCACTTCCAGATGCAGAGCAATCACAAGGTTTCACTTTCAATGACCTCATTCCTGGGATACCAGAAGGAGGACTGGAGGAGGGCAGAGTGGGGAGGAGGTGCCTTCGGATCCCTGCTCTGCCTGACCACCCATTGGCCACCTTGCAGGCAGTAGCACAAACAAGCAGTGCAGCTTCTGATGTCATGTGAACCCAGACACTGGAGAGTTTTCCTGCTTTGATTCTGTCTCTGCCTTTACCAGAAGAGGGTGACCTGAGGAGCTCAAGCACAGCAGTAGAATGCATGCTTTGCATGTGAAGCTGCTGGGTTCCATCCCCAGCATCTCCAGGAGGGACGAGAAGAACTCTTGCATTTGGGAACTGCTGCCAGCCAGTGCTGGCAATACAGGACTAGGTGCACCAAAGATCTTAGTATATGGCAGCTTCCTATGTCCCTATGTTGTATATTGCAAAAAAGTCCTACAACTTCCAGCATGTCCCAGAAAAACCATGGAGGCAGGGGGAATCTTAGAGTTCTTTCTATCTGGACATAAATTGCACCTTTAAAGAGTTTATTAAGTAAGTTTATGTTTCATTACACTGAGTCTGTTGCAGCTTTGATAATAAGTGGATGACAAATATTTGTTTCCAGTTGGACTGTGCTTTATGAACACTTTAAATATTTTCCATTTAATTCATAGAGAGTTTAGAAAAAGAATTCATATACTTTCTTTTATGCTAATTCAGGGTGACTGGAAGCTGGACCTTGATAAATAATATCAAGTTAGATGGTTCTGAAAATTTTTGTTGATAATCTGATATTGTGTGCGTGTCAGGGTGTTAAGCAGGGGATGGTCAATCAATCTTTTTGAATTAAATCTATGATGTTAACTTAAGGAAGTTAACATGCATTCAGCCACTTCAGCCCCCTAGAGAGTCTAGCTACAAGGTCAGAAGCCCATCTCAGCATTGTGGCATAAAGCACAGGGGAATTTTAGCAGAGGGAATGTCCAGAAGAGCTTTGTACCTACTGCACATTTTTCACAGAAAGGTCTTCTATGAATCCAAAAAGTCTGGAGTCTGGAGTGGGTGTGCAGTTCAGCTGGCTACAAGACAGAGGAAAGACTAGGAAAGACGTGTGTGCACATCATTCAGCTATCTTATCTGAGGATGCTTTCATCATAATGTATTGGCCATAAGTCAGGGCTGTAGACCAGACAAGACCATGAAGTGTCTTCACTTCACCTGTCGCCTTCTCTCTCAGTCCCCAACCCCCTCTTCCTCCCCCAGCTGAATTTCTCTTATCTTAAGTCAGCTGCTGATCAGAGATCAGATTTCTCAGCTGAAAATATATCTGAAGCCCAGTGCCAAGGAAGGCTATGTTAAAGTGGAATTGCAGTCGGAGAGGCATTGTGTGTGTGTGTGTGTGTGTGTTGGGGGTGTCGCTTCTCCCCAGTGCTGCAACCCTCCATAAAAAAAATCCTTTCTCCATTGCAATCAGCATTTAAACACGGTTGTGCTGACCAGTGGGAATGGTCCAGCCCACAGATGGCATGCAGGTCCCAACATGCTTGCCTATAGCCACTGTGGTCTTTGGACTAAAAAAGACTTCATATCCCTGTATGCTGTATAATTCTAGACTGATTTATTTTACATAATCCTAGACGGTTTTTGTTGGTATATTTGCCTACGGCACTGTCCTAATGCTCTTGTCATGCCAGATTTCTTGGCAGTAAATTAGCTTACCAGTGGTTACAAGCAATTTGCATGCTGGTACAACGTTAAGTCATAGGAACAGGCTATAGTAGATATAGAAGAAAAACAAATTAACCCCAACTATATTTTATGGAACCATATAGAACTATCTCAGATTTTAGTGGTCTAATTTTTTCAGTAATTTCAAAGAAAAGCAATGAAAGGGTAATTGTCAAGTTGTCTAGTACCTTCAAAATGGAAGAGGCTCATATAAGTGAAAAAAACACATATTGTACAACATTGGCCATGCATTTTTCATATTTAAATTAATTGTATCATACAAAGGGTCAGTGGGCATAGCAAATAACGATAATCAAAATACAGATTAAATGAATGGATCTCATTTGGGAAAATCCATTTTGACACAGCAGTTGTTTCTTGTCAGTTCAATGAGTTGCACTCAAGAGATTTTTCTCCTGGCTATAATCTGCATGCTTCAAATGATAATTTGTTTTACACACAGCCGGTTTTCCTCTGAATGCATGCAAGGTGTGATACAAGATATGCATCTGTGGATCTCTTTCTGTAAAGTCCTCTTGTGGATCTGTAATAAGGTTATCCTGCATGATGTTATACACTGAAAAATGCAGCAGTAAAATGCTATATGGGGTACAGAGCTAAAATTGCTTTCCAGATTATTATTTAATTCGTAAGAGCAGAGTTCCAAATCAAGATGGGAAATATTTATAGGATAGCTCTTTGCATTCTAAGCATCCTGTGATGCACAAATAACATTACTGACTGCAGAACTTACACCCCAACCAATCTTCAAATTTATATGATGGTAGATAAATAGAAATGTCAAGAAAGTTGAGACAAATAACATGGGATTGCTAAGCAGTTGGAGTAATCAACAGAGGAAGAACTTTGGCTCATGACTGAAAGGAATCTCAGCCAAAATTTGAGATTTTCCTCAATGACAGAATGTGGTCATTAGGCAGGTTATAGGGCCAAGCAGACCTGGCACACAGCATATTCTATTAACAGAAATTAACTAGCACCAACTATCACGTTAATTTTACCTCACTAGGTAACATACTTTGGGTGCAAACCTATGGATACAAGAGACACTCTAGATGCCATAGGAAGATGGGACTCCCAGCTCTGGCCTCAGAAACACATTCTAAGGTCAGAGCTGGGACTCCAGATCTGGAGCTTCTGCCTCTGTCCTTGCAGCGGGCACAGAGAGAACTATGCTGGCTGCAGCACAAAGGCCGTTTTGGATGAATATTCTGAGGTATGGAGAGGGAAGGACTAAAGCTCTTGCGGGATAGGATGTTTCTTGGCAGGGCCTAAGACTTTTCTCCTTGCATGCTGCAGCCAAGAACTTAGATGGCCAAAATCTTTTGTAGGGCAGGAGAAGAATGGGAGCAGCCTTGGACATCTGAGTTTGGAGGCTTATGGGAAGCTGTACTGTTTGGGTACAGACCTATGAGCATTTAAGATGTCCAAGTGTGTGTTTGTGTTTCTGTGTTTTTAATGTATTGTTTAATTCTGCTATGTGTTTTACCTTTTTATTGTTCAGTACTCTGGTTTCCATATAGATATGGAGCAATACACAAAGGCTATAAATAGATATTTGGACAGGAAAAAATCCGGTGACTGAAACTCATAGGACTTTCTTCTATCTGTACATGCATAGACATGCAACCCTTATATACCAGTTGTTTTAATGTTATCAATATTGATAAAATTACAGGATCTCCATAGAACTCATATCAAAAAATAGGGAGAGAGAACAGTTGGTTGCATACAGAATACTTGCCCTAACATGACTTTTCTCTCTGTGTGTTTGTCTGTTTGCTATGAAAAGGATCCTGTAGAATTTGTCTGAGCATTAACCATCATTTTCATATCACTTATTTTAGATGTATAAGCCATCCTCCCTTAAAGCTTTATGATGGGTGTGGGATTTCATATGCATCATGAGTTGTAAGGGAGAAAAGGTTTCCTTTTTTGCTTTGTGAATGTTTTCCAGTTAGTTTGCTATCTAAATGAAATATGAATATGTTGTTTATATTTGATATGCCCCAGCTCTTTTTTGGTCTGCAAATAAGCCAATAAAGGTCCAGTGTCAGTGCTTGCTATCCTTTGGCAGTGGCCGGGCCCCAGAGCTGAAGCTTTTCCTGGGCTGCCCTTTTCTGGAACTCCAATCAGTGCTGGGATGGCTTGGAATTGCCAATCCAACGTAGTGCCACCACCCCTATTATGGGCACCCAAGCAATGGCAATGGCAGTTCCAAGTCATTCCATTGCTCATCAGAGTATTGCACTGTTACTTTCCCTGGTGCAGCAGCACAGGCTCATGGGAGGCCAACCAAACTAGGGGGAGCTGCACTTCACATTCTCTCTCAGGGGTGCAGAACTTCAAGCCCATGGGCCAAATGCAGTGCTGATCCATGAGGCTCCATTCAGAGAGACTCCTCTGATGGTCTATAAAATAGAAAGTGTGCTGTAGGTCATGATGTATGATCAGTGCAGCTGTTTTAGGTTTCTCAACACTTATTTGCCAGACCAGAATCTCATGCATTGGGATTCATAAGACCAATCATCTTATCGCCATATAGAAATAACATTGATGAGTAGATTTGACAATGAATTTCTCTTGTGGACTTGTATATGGTCCCAGCATTTGGCACAAGGCTTATATATACTGATTCATTGTATGCTTTCTTTTGCTTTCCTAGTTGGATACACAATGAATGATCTCATTTTTGAATGGCAAGAAAACAGTGCTGTTCAAGTAGCTGAGGGGCTCACTTTGCCACAATTTCTGTTGAAAGAAGATAAAGATTTGACTTACTGCACCAAGCACTACAACACAGGTAGGAGAACTGTGGAGCCCATTGACAATTCAAAGGTCAGGTGTTCCTTTTTTACTGTGACGTTGGTCATTAGTCAACCATATATTCCATATATTCAGCTTCAGAGCAATGGGGCTGGGAGTGAATGCAGTTACATTCTGGATATTGTGGCTGCCACTGCTAAGTGAGAACTAAAGGGGTGATAGTGTCAAATGAGCGACATCAACAAAGTTCTGAAACAACAGTAGGCCACCTTTCCTATATCAGTGGTGGGCAACTTGTGGCCCTATACTTCCCATGATTTGGTCAATACTTCCTATGATTTCTTGATATTTGTCTGTGTCAACTAAGATTGATGGGAGATGTAGGCTGAAATATTTGGAGGACCACAAGTTGAGCACTCCTGGCCTAAATACAAGGGTTGGGGATAGGAAGAGTAGAAATCCAGCAGTAAAAAATTATTTTTGGTGAAATCCACATAGAAGATACATGAAAAATTCAGGTAAAATTGTATACACTGGATTCTTGAAACCAACCTGTTTCTCACACCAAAGAACACTGATCTCAGGTTCAATATTCTGATCAATGGAATACATCCAAATCTTTCTTAACATGCCTCCTATGTCCTGAATTCCATTATCTGCTAACTCTGAAAGGAAAATATAATATGCAGGAATGAATAATTTTAGTCAAGTCAGTTTTCAGGGTCCATTTGCTTGTTTTACTTACCAAGGAAGTCTGGAAAATCACATCCTTTGTGTCATTAGGGTATGGTAACCACCATCAACTGACATGGTCTATACATACATCTTTCACTCACCAATTTAGTAGGGATTCTTTCCAATGTTAATGGTACTTAGAGTAGATGCAACAGAACTTAAATTAGTTTTGACCAACTTAACTTCCATTCATTTCCATGGGTTTACTTTGAGTTGGAATAACAGTGGATACAATCCTAGATCCAAACTACTACAGCTAAGCAGCAATGCAGAAAATGAAGTATATTTGTGTTTGCTGGACACAGATTGTCTTGTGCCACTGTTGACCATCTGTTGTTCAAATCTTATGCCAAATCTTTCAACAAGAGCTTCTTGATTAAGTAAAATTACATGAGGTCAAATATTAACATGAGTTTAAGTGTGCCATTTCCAAGGAAACACAGTGAATGCTTGTTTCACATATAAGCATAAAATTTTGCTTCACTGCTTTTTTCTTTTCATTCATCTTGCTTTTAATGATTCCTGTGAAGGTTGACCTACTATTAGAGAAAAGGAGGTGGCTACATCAGGTGGCTGAGTGTGTAGATTGGGAAACAGCAGTAAACTTTTAGCTATTCTACAATTATTGTTTTATTTTTACTGCCAAGGAGCAAAAGATGCTTGCAGGATTTTCTGCCAAATGTACCAAAATAACACTGCAACCCTTGGAACGCTGCATCTTGAGTTGGATCTAGATTTAATCATACTAAAGTTAGTGTGTAGAAATCAATGGGATGTAAATCATCCATAAATAACTTCAGTCCCATTGATCTACTTTGATTATGGGGGATGCAGGTGGTGCAGCAGTTTCAACTGTTGAGCCGCTGGGCTGTTGACTGGCAGTTTTAATCTGCATGATGGGGCGAGTGCCCTCTACTTTGTCCCAGTTTCTGCATACCTAGCAATTCAAAAGCATGCAAATAGATAAATAGGTGTCACAACAGTGGGAAAGGTAACAGCAGTCCATGCACCTTGGTGGTGCTGGCCACATGACCATGGAAGCATTTTTGGACAATGCTGACCCTTCGGCTTACAAACAGAGAGGAGTACCGGGCCGAGAGTTGGGCGTGTCTATCACGCCAATGGGGATAATCTTTACTTTTACTAAATCTGGTTCCAATTCCTTGATTTGACTTGAGAGTGGAAGCACCATTGTTGTTTCACTTCAGGCAATTCAGGTCTTCAGCCAACCCTGTTGATTTTTATGCCACTGCCTGCTCATCGTATCAAGTTAACCTGCCCTTTCTCATCAAACCTGCTACAAATGTCCAGTATCTTTAAAGAAGACCCAGATAATTTACCAGTCTGTATGAACAGTGCTCTTGCAAATCCCAAAGCTTTAAGGTCTGGATTAGTCCACTGTAATGAAATTGAGAATGACTGTATAAATGCAGAATAGGGAACCTGCAAGTCCCCCAACCCCAGATGATGGATTCCAATCCCATTTTCCTTGACCACTGGCCATGCTGGCTTGAGTTGACAGGAGCTGGAGACCAACAACATCTTAAGGCCTCAGTTTCCCCCTCCCCTCCACACACACACCAGCACCAGATGTAAAGGACAGAATAACTGAACAACATAACTTCAGGTATGTTAAGAATGTAAGAACTTCCTTGTCTGATCAAACTACAGGTATACATAGTATCACATTCTGTTTCTAGCTACAGCCAGCCTGTGCAGACCCTTTGGAAGCTCCCAAGAAAGACCTGATACATTATCCCTGTTTGCCTCTAGCATCTGTTAAAACAAGGAATAGTGTGAGTTGGAGGAGTGTGTCATCATTAATGTCTTTTGCTCAATACAGAACTAGAGGAAAAACAAGCAAAGATCTAGAGAAGTTCCACAAAAACCTTTTGTGTTTTTTTAATTGACTTGCTATAGGGTGACTTTATTGCAATGGGTTTTAATAATAGTTTGACATATTAATAAGAGTTTTTACTTATTATTAAATGCTACTTGTTATTGTCATCCTATTGCTCTTGTTTTTGTTGGTTTTAATAGATTGTAATTTTATTAAAACTTAAAAGGCAGGATAGAAATCTATTACATAAATAAGCTCAAAAACATTGAAACACTGTAGTCATTGTCAAAGTTAAGTCTTCTCCAATCTGGTACCCTCTGAATAAGTTGGTTTAAAGCTCCTAGCATTCCTTAACCAGCTGACTGGGGAATGCTAGGAACTGTAGTTCAACCTATTTGGAGAACACCAGCTTGGGGAAGGCCATTAACACTGCTAACAAATGCTCTGCCATTACATCAGGCATGATTAATAAAGAAAAATGCATCATATTCTTCTAACCGTTCTTCTTTGTCATATCTAGGCAAGTTTACATGCATTGAAGTTCGATTCCACCTTGAGAGGCAGATGGGCTATTATCTCATTCAAATGTACATTCCCAGTCTCTTGATTGTCATACTGTCCTGGGTGTCATTTTGGATCAATATGGATGCAGCTCCAGCCAGAGTGGCTTTAGGTATAACAACTGTACTTACTATGACAACACAGAGTTCAGGGTCACGGGCTTCACTCCCAAAGGTACGCAAGCTCTTGGACTTTGTGTGTTATGATTTTGTTGATGATGGAACATGTTTTTTTTTAGTTCAGTATTCTCCAGCATGGATGGTCTTAAATGTGTGCCTCTTATACCAGAGTTCATTAAAGGAAGAAAGGTAAGAGTGTGCATTGTTGCCCTATAAACCATCTTAATTGTACCCAATGTAACTTACTTCCGAGTAAACATGTATGGGATTGTACATTCAGTAGCTTGACTGCACCAAATTTATTATGCAAATTTAGATAGTCATTGAAAAAAATCACTACTGCATAGTAGTTCTTATACTCGTCTTATCTCTTCGGAGCAGGTAACATTGTCTCCTTGATGACAAAATTTGGAAGCAAAGCTCATAGACAGGAACATTTTGGATGGGTCCATAAATGTAGAATGCCCTTCCTCTAAAGGTTGGAATAGAGTTTTGAAGTCCAAGAGATGCCGCTTCCCCCAGGCAAGCCAGCCAATTTGGTCATCATGCTTACAGTTTGCATCCAATGAGCAGGCAACTAGGATATCAAAGTGATCTTGGATACATTTAACAAGTATGGGTAGGATTAATGCTATAAAATTGATAGCAATACCCATATAAATTATATTATTATTTCCAAACATTTCTCTTAACTGATACATGATGAACCAAATATATTAAGTATTTTTTATTATGTACTTTTCTTTCTCTAAAGAAAGAAAAACAAAGGCTTGTAAAACTCTTGAGGCAAAAACTATTAAATGAAGGGGGATGATGGGAACCAATATTCTTAGACAGTATGAACCAAATCATTTAAGAATGGTAGTATTGTATTTGGATGGAGCATCAGAGAAACTGTGTATAGGTATGGAAGAAATGCAGGAAAAGTCACAATAGGATAAATTTTATTTGGAAGTGGAGAAAGGAGTCCTGAAATAGATAGACAACCCTTTTTGATATGCAATTTAAAATCACAGAAGCAATGGGAAAATAATGTGAAATCGCATTGTTTCCATTTTTGTTGCCTTCACATTTTGCTTCTGTATATAAACAAGAATAATCTACAAATTAGGGAAAAAAAGTATTCTTTTCTCACTTTCTTTTTATAGAATGAGAAATTTCTTTGAAAATGAAACTGATCTTACTGTAACAAAATTAAAAGAAAAGCTTCAGGGAATGCAAATGAATTTGGTTTTCCTTCATCAAATATATTATATTGTTATGAAGGCTCTAATAATACAAGAATATAACTAGAATGATGACAAAACTTGAAGATATTTGACTGGAACACAGGATCAGTACAGAAGGGTTAGACTCTAAAATCTATTCACATTTTCTGGGGAGACCCATCACAACAGCAAATTGACTTGGTGTTGTTCTAGAGGTCACTTATGCTAAACATAATTTACATTTTTCATAATGTTGCATTGGATAATAATGTTGGACATGATAATGTTAGAGTGTTACAGCACTCTAATTTGTGCCCACGGATTCTATATGGTCAAAGTATCTTTCTGCCAAGGATGAATAAACCCTGATGCCACCCTCAGTAGAACAGACAAGCAGGAAACTGAGAACATGGAGTGGTCTTAACAGTGCAATCCTATAAGTAAATGTGCTTTGATAGAGGGAGAAGGGCTATGCCAGGGAATGGAGAAGGGAGCAGGCTGGGGCCATCTCCTTACGTCAGAACTCCAGCCTCTTTGCTTCCCCACTCTGGTGATTTATCTAGATGGCTGAAAAGGACCATCTAGATAAACACATGGAGCAAGGAACGGTGGCAATGGAGAGAGCCATGGCAACGCTTTGCTGTGACCACCCGTGTGCTAAGTGAGCCAGGGACTCACTTTCACGGGCGTTCCAAGGGTATGCATTATTCAATTCTGAGGAAGAGTCAGAGGAGGGGGTGATGGGAAGCCAGGAGGAGGATCAAAGGGCAGCAGAAGTCTTGGATGCTCCGTCAAGGTTGCTGCCCTGCAGTTTCCCAGGCTGACTGTGAGAGCGGGCTTGTTTTGGAAGAGACAGGAAGGGTTTCTGACCATGTGGTGAGATGTCAAGAGAGAGGAGCTACCTAGTTAGAGGACTTGCCTAAGCCTTGCGGGCTCTCTCTCCACCAGTGGGAGCCACCTGAGAGTGTTGCTCACAGTATTACTGAAAGAGAAGGATTTGGGAGAAGTTTCCAGTTTGGGTTCAATGATTTTTGTACGAGCAGAGGCTTATTGCTTGGCTTACTCTTAGAGTGGTATTGTCTTGTTATCTATGAAGTCCTAACAAAACTCTGCATTAGGCCTGGTGTTTTGGAGCCTAAGGGCAAAAAGGGAAGTGTCTGGCTCATGACAACCAGACGCACATAAGCCTCTGAGGTTGGAGGCTTACATGCCTGGAAATTTCTCTCTGGAATGTTGGGTGCTCCTTCCTGAACAGTACAGAATGGGGTACAGAGTATTGTTAAGGAAAGTAAGTCTTATCTTGGACCATATGTTAAACCATCCCAAGACGAAAAGGAACAGCCTAAAAGGGTTTTGAATAAATAAATAACTATGATTTAAAATAAACTTAAGGTGAGATCCTATGGTCTGACAAAAACAGGAAACCTATAACAACCAGCATGTCCCAGCCAGTATAGCTAGCTAGAGCATATCGGGAGCTGTATGACTTGTTTCTGTTGAAACATGCATTTAAGATTGCACCCTTCCAGAAGTTCATAACAGATAGGTTTCTTATCCCTTCCTCCATGCACTATCCCACATGGTTCCAGCATGCACCCCTGACCCCTTGCAGAGCACTCCTGAACAATGTGGGATAATTGCATTTAATTCTTTAATATCAACACTGAAATGTTATCTGATATACTAAAAAGGCATCAGTGTGGTGTTTCTATGGGTCAAAGGTAGCTAAAGTGTGGTGAATGGATAGGAATGCTTCCTTTGGTGAATTTTCTTATATCAATATATTCGAAGCCAAGCTTGTGGAACTCTACTAAGGCTGAAACAGGAACCCTATTGAGCATGTAAGGCTCAAAGATGCATGCATATTCCAGAATAAAATGGCATTTTGCTGAATTCCTGGCCTTTGTTAAATCCATTCCGTTTTGTAAGTTGTCGGCCACTTTTTGTCCCATTATCTGAGTCAGATTTTCTGCATGAGAATTTTGTTCACAAATTCATAGCTCCACAAATGCTCATTGTTAAATATGCACTTGCAAATGTGTATTTGTAAATGAACAAAATTGTGCAACTCCCCACCAAGAGTAGAAAAGTAAACTTTGCAAATTCATGGAATCTGTGGGAGTTGGGAAAAGTTAGTCTGCTGCAGAATCTGTAGGTTGCAGTCATAGAAATAGAAACTATTTGATTTCCTTATAGATTTCTCTTACATCACTACCTGATGGTGAACATGTGTTCTGTTTTTATGCCTGCAGTTCCACAGCGGGCATTGTGTTTGTAATGCTGTTTTTGATCAATGGCTTGTACATTCCATCCTAAGATACTTTTGTGTAATAGCACAGCAAGTCTTGAGTGCTTTTCATATAAAGACTTTTTCATAAAATGTCCAACGATCTTGCTCTCTTTTTATATAACTAGCTTTCACTATGATACAAAGAATTGTTTGTTTGTTTTAATTTCCTTGAGCTCAGAGACACTTAAATGTCCCATCTGCATTTCTAACACTAGCCATCTTCAACTCTCTGTTCTCTGTAGGTGTCGTACGTCAAAGCCATTGACATCTGGATGGCTGTTTGTCTGCTTTTTGTATTCTCTGCACTTCTGGAATATGCAGCTGTAAATTTTGTGTCAAGGCAGCATAAAGAATTGTTGAGATTTCACCGAAAGAGGAAGAAGAACAAGGTAGGTATGATGCACTCAAAAACAAAAAGAACAGAGGGAGAAAATATCTGCTCCTAAGAATGGAATGCTGTTTAAAAGTGGCTATACAAATAGCATGTTAACATAGGATGACATTCCGTCTTTTGCATAAGGTCAGCAAAAGGCCTATGTCATACACAAATCCCACTGAAACCTTCAACGTAAGGATTAAAAGGGATTTCAGTGGCGAGCCTTGCAGAAGCTTTCTGAGCAGAGTTTAATTTCCCCATCGGAGAATACCAGCAGATTGTTTCTTTCTGATGAAAAATACCAGAATGAGAGGTGTTAAAATAATTTCCAACTGTGGTTCAGTAGAAGACCTTGATACATGCATTTAAGGGTTGTTGGCTTTTTAATAAAATGGCAAAAGTGAGCTTCTTTCTATCAGAGGTTTTAAAAAGTATTAAAATAGACAGTTCACTGTGTTTGTGTGGGCGAGGAAGATAAGAAGAAAATCATTTCAGGTCACTTGGAGACTCATAACTGAATGCAAAAGTTCAGTTTATAGATATGAGATGAGATGAAAGGGGTAAGAAGCAGAACAAAGTTACCAAGAGCTTTTCCAGAGAGGCTCACTTGGCACCTAAATGTTGGTCTTTTGGGCTGCAGGCAAATGCTTTTAAGTGTGGTGCCTCAGAATGGAAGGGAAAATGCTGCCAGGATACACAGTGGGAGTTGTAGGATCTTTTCTGTCTAAATATATACAGGATTGCCCCCAAATGAACTGTTGTAGCCATTAGGCTTTTCTACATGAGACATTTTTCAAAGGCATATTGTTCCTGACTCACGGCTGCTTATGCACTCTTTAGTTAACATTGTGATCTCTAGCTCTGCTTCTCTGTCTAATCAGCAATTTATACAAGTCCTTTTTGTGCAGAAAATGGATATTATTTCTGATGGGAAAAGGAAGTCCCATTTTCTCCTGCATATTTGTGCTGTTCAGGCACACTGTCTCCTTAGAGGTTATGTAGCAGAAAGCAGGAAAGGAAAGCAGGAAATGCTCCTTTGATAGATCTCAGTTCTGTGATGAAACTGAAAGTAGATACAGCAGATTTTCAGCCAATTAAAGCTCACTGTCAAGGTCTCAATGGAACAAGGAGTTTTACCACCTAGGAAGAACAATGTTAAAATGCATTGTGCATCTTATAAACTATGAATTCCCTATTCTCCATGTGTTTAAGCTCCAACTCAAGACCTAGTGTCTCTTTTCATTCTTTTGGGAAGTGGGGAAGAGACACTTTTTTCTTTTGCTCCCACTCAACACTTCTGCTTTCACTGTGGCTGGGATGATGGAGGATTTGCTGGGATATAACAAAGGAGAAATAAAAGTCCAACAATTGTGGAGAAAGCAGAGACAAGATGCATAGGAATTTCCTAGGATTAGAAGAGTATCAGTGGCTTCTGACAGTCCAACAGTTCCTTCTGGGTGATGAACAATTAGGAGTCATGCTAGGGACAGAAAAGTCGCAGGACAAAATAACACACAAATGTGCATACGCTAATACACGTATGTTCTAAAGACTGGGAGTGTCTTTAAAGGATTCCTAAGGATGTCCCTACTTGTAAAATTGAATGAATAGACACAGGAGCAGACTGTATTTGCAACTCAGTCAGAAAGATTCAAGGGGTGGAAGCAGGTAGTGAACCACACATAAGCAAAAAGCCAGGTAATCACATGAACAGAGGTCGTCAGGGGCGCTGTACCTTTATTTAGTACTTCAGAAGAAGATCCCATGGACATCAGGGTGGTGAGGCAGAGCGTTTCCCTGAGTTTCAGAGTTTCAGGGCTCTAAATGAAAGATGTGGGGTTTCTGAGCCACTCCTTAATACCACCTTTGTGGTGGTACAAAGGTAACACCACATTACTCATGATGAGACATGTGGGACACCAGAAATTTATTGAAATAAGGACAGAAAATCCTTCAGTTTCAGGCTTTTTACTCATCTTTCTTATCAGGCAATAGAGAAATAGAATTCAGACAGAAGAGCCATGAGAAATCTTAAATTTCTTAAACTGTTTTTAGATTACAAAGATTACTGTCTTCCATATATGAAAGCATTAACTGCCAACCTTCTTTTCAGTACAGAATTGGATACAGTTTTAAACACATACACAGATGTTTTGTAGGCTTATGAAGCAGGGGATGATATAGCAGCAGTATTTAACACTGCTGCCAAACTGGTTCTTCCATCCAGATTATAGGGTGCATTGGAATCTGCAGACCTGAGAATCTGTGTGTTGCCAAGCAGTTAGGTAACAAAAACAATTGGTAATTAGAACACAGGCAAATAGCTTGTTCGATTTCAGTTTAAAGACAATCGATTTTCCTTTCAGTAAATCAGAGCATGCCATTGAATTTTATTAACACTCTGTAATATTCTACTTTGCTTGTCCCATTCCCTTTCACCCACAAATAATTAAAAAGCTTGGTGCCCGCCTAATTTGTAACACATCTGACAGAGGTTAAACAATTGCTAGGTCTTAGAACTTCTTTTTTTTTCCTTTTTAATGCAGACAGAGTGAAAAAGAGAAACAATTGACCATTGAACTCTATCTAGCCCAGAAATAAGTAGAGAGCACCAAAAACAAAACAAAAGTAAAAGTGCACCCCTGTGTAGTTCTCAGCTGGGTCATGCCAGGTGTTGTAGGCCTTTATTCTGTCCAAACTTGCATAAGATTGTGCCTTAAATGGCTTGAAAAGATGTGTTGTATTGTCATCCTGTCCTGTCCTATCCTGAATTTTAGAAACATGCCACCTACAGTAATGAATCAAAGAATGGCCTGTTGTGTGTGGCATCATGTTTCAGACACAGTGCTCCTCTTGTGTAGGGTAGCACAGTGAAGAGTAGTTCAGTCCTTACTTGCCTTGCACCCAGAATTTCTTGTGTAAAACCATCTGTCATCCACTGCGTCAGCCTAATGATCTGGAAAATGTACATAGCTTAATGCTTAAAGGAATCAAAGTATGATTTAGAATTTTGACCTCACCCTTGAGGTTGAATTGATTGTCTGAGCTGTTTCATAGTGAGATGGTTACTGTCACTTATTTAAAAGGTTCTTGCTGATTGGAGAACCATTGCTATTAATATATCAGTCGTTGCTGCCTCAGAATAATAGTTTCTTCATGCAAACTGTAAAGTCCAAATGCTGCACACAGGGGGTTGGATTCAGGATATGTCTTCTGAGGGAAGAAGGATTCCATTTCTAGAAGGTTCTGTACCTGATTACAAAAGTTTGTCCCCCTCAACCCCAGACTACACCACATTCAGAAGGGTTCACACATCATGACAAGCAATCATGTGTGGTGTGCATTTTTTGCCTGGATGGGTCTGACAATCAAGTTCCACCCAACACTAAATGCCTGGAGCATGGAAACCATAAAACAGACTGTTGTTTCTTATTATGGTTTCTAAAAACAAAACATAGCATGACAACAGGCTTCAAATAATACAACAGACAATCCTGTGCAAGAAGCTACTGTGATTTGCCATGTTGTGCAAACCCACCCATTGCTTAGTAGTTTCAGGGGTCACCCTGAGCAAATTCGCTTCCACAAATGCTATTGATCCAGCATAAATCTGGTTTCTGCTTATGATGGAGCAGAAAGCAAATTTTCTCCACCATGCCTATGTACTACGTGACACTGGTCATGGTATATGCACTTGTATGAAGACACATATGATTTATATAAACTTTCCACTTTTTACAATTGTTATTTGCAAGGGAAGGATCACGAGGTGAAGGATACATGTGCGTGGTAGATGAAGAATTGTATGTCCCCTATTTTGTTACATTGCATGTGAAGTAAAATATGCAGCTTGGCCCTTTTTCCAATTATATGTACACTTGTTTGGATGGCATGCAGTAGTGCTAAAATGAGCCCAGCCAGAGAAACAATTTCAACATGTCCAATACCTCATTTACTGCATTTTCACCTCTCACTCTTTGAAGTATGGTTGGAATCATTCCTGTAATGGAATAGCTCTGTTTATCACTACAACTTATAAAACATATTAAGAAGGATTCCAAAATCCATAGTTAAACACTTTCTTAAATAGGAACAACCAAAGATGCACAACTTGGGGCAAGCTTTTGAGATATCCAGGTATCTATATAAGAATAAATGTCCTTGATGCATGAAAGCAGCCTAAAACAACAACAGCCTGAAAGAACTGATATTGCCAATTAGTCCACAGATCATACTAGTGGATAAAAATTTTTAGCTCCCTGCCAGCAGACAAATACCACTAATTATCTTCTATTTCATACAGAATTACCTGACTGCTTGCTTGGAGACAATTCTTTCTTACTGCAGACATCTAAGCAAGTGGTTATTTATAAACTCAAAAGAGCACAAAAACAAATGTTAGCCCATTTGCATTATCTGCCAATACAAGATACTAGGCCATTAAATATTTTTAGACCAATATCAAATACCATGAGAGGTCACATATTAAATACTACCAAATGCCAAATAACAGGTGAGAAATATCAACTATCAAGTGCTAATAGATATTAATAATAATAATAATAATTTCACTTGTATGCTGTACCCAGAGCCATTAAGCTTTCTGAGTGCCTTGCATTACATTCAGCAACAATGAATAAAACAATTCCATATAAACTATTCATAAAAATCAATAAAATAGCACAATAAAAGCAAGAACAGTAATAAAATCAACATTCACTTAATTTTCAAACCCATTTTAACAATCAGATTACAACAATCATTTAATTAAAATTGTCTAGCGGCTAAAACTCTGATACGGCAGTAGCAGTAATAAAAGCCAGCATAAAATCAACCCATTGACCCACTAAAATATTTGCAAAAAGGAAATGTTTTTAATAAGAGTCTGAATGACAAGGAGACCTCAAATGAAAGCATGTTCCACAAGTGGGGCACTATTGAAGAAAAGGCACTTCTCCTAGCCGTTTACCCAATTACTTCAATGGGAGAGGAAGCCAGAGAAGAGCCTCAGAT